CCCAAAACCCCAAAACCCCAAAACCCCTTAAGACACATAGTAATAGATAAACGAAAGTAACAATTATTTGATTTCTTATAAATTAATTTATATTGTAAATTTCATCTAAATGGTCAAAACAAATATTTACGATTAATCTCATTATTTGATAGAAGATATTGTAGAAATCTAAATTATTACAGTGCTCATATAAAAATTCGTTTCTCTTTTATCACTGGGCCGTTCAAATCTGACATTTTAATGTGGCAATAGCAATTAAAGGGAATATTTTATTAATTTTGTTAATTGATACTATTGATTATGTCGAAATCTTAGGTTGATTCTAAGATTTATTCGTTAACGTCATTTGATAAATGCGGATTGATTAATTCATTTTTACAAATTTTTACAGGGGCTATTTCTGCTTATAAATCACAATTCTCTTATACTAAGTTAATTAGTTACTCATTAGATTCCAAGAAGTTTAACTATACTTTTTTACTTAGTATTGACTAAGGATTCTTCTTGTTTATACCCATTCTGAGTTTAGATTTTATACTTGAAAAATTAAAATTATTCTAGTTATATAGGTTTCCAACTTTTTCTTATCTCTTATTATCGTGATTATTAATAATTATGGATCTACTACGATTGTGAGTACTTCTAAGAAGTTTTCTCAATTTCAGGTCACAAAACCACTCATCAATTAATGCTTCATCTATAGAGATTCTCTGCATTGGATCTTCTTATATGAATTTACTTACAAATTCTTCATCTTTATTACACAACAATTTTTCCTTATTCCATTTATCAATATTGAAGTTTCTATTATATCTAAGTACATCTTCGAATCTACTTCCCGATATCAGCAGTTTCTAGGTTAAAATGAAATAGAAAATGCATCCCAAACTAAATATATCTGACTACTAGTCATACCTTAGTGTCCTGAATATTTCTGGAGCCATAAATCCCGGTGTTCCACAAACAGAATCGAAATGCTTTTTTTCTTCAGTTAATTTCCCACACAGTCCTAAATCGGCTATCTTGATTTATAAGCCAGTAGTTGTTTATGACATTAAAATATTTAATGGTTTTATATCTCTGTGAACAAAACCTTTCAAGTGCATTTGTTTTATACCCACTAGCAATTAATAGATCAGTTCTTCCTACTAATGTCTATCTAATACTTTTTTACTCTTAATATACGTGTATAAATTGCCATCTTTAATTAATTCCATGACTATGTGATAACTATTCTTAGTCTCATAAACTTATAATATTTGAACTAATCCAGGCACTCTTCTCATTGCTTACATTGCTTCAATTTCTTATCTTATTTGAGATTACTCTTAGTTTTACTTCAGAATTCTTTTAATAGCTACAAATTCATGATTATCCTTGAATGGGGAATGAGGTAGGGGTTTACCCAGATAAACTTGAGCGAAATTTCCTTTTCCAATTTCTTTTATAATTTCATAGTCATCCTGGATATTGTCTGAGAAATTAATCGGATAAAGCTACTCAAGCCAGAAATTATAGTCTGAGTATTCATGGAATGAGAAACTCCAAATATCATTCTCAGTTTTCAATTGATTTGATCTTTATTGCTGAGTGGAGGAGATGTTAGACGTCCATGAATCACTCCTGTATTATATGCTGAATTAAAATTTTGGAATATTTAATGAGCTCTTAATTTAGCATTCTGTCTTCTTTTATTCTCCAGAATTATTCTCGATTGTGATTTTCTATTTTATAGCATAAATTTTCAAATCTGATTTCCAATCAAATTTTGTCTCGCTAAACTATTAAATAATGCCATCTCTATTAAGACCAAATATCCCCAATCGTAAATTTGACTCTTATATATGCTATTTCTTATTTTGGCATTTAAGGTATGCCTCAGAAATGACTTGATATTAATGGCCATATTTTCTACGCAACTCATTAACTAAGTCACTTTTGTGGCTCATTGTTTAGTTGATTGAGAAAGATTACATCAAATTCTTTGAATAATTATTCGTGTGAATGTCGTAGGAAGATTCAAGCATTGTTTTCAATTTTAAAATGATAAAAATGATATAAATTTAAAGAGATCTGTAAAAGTATTAAGCAATCAATTTTTATTTATTCAAAACTATGTACACAAATACTGATAAATTATTACTACCTGAAAATTCATAAAACCAGGTAATGAGGGGTTTTGGGGTTTTGGGGTTTTGGGGTTTTGGGGTTTTGGGGTTTTGGG